CCTTGGTGATCAACTGATTAATAGAGCGGTTCACCCATTTTGAAACTATGGTGACCTGGAATATAACTTGTCTTCTGACCTTTGTACCTCTTTGTTCCAAGTGTACTGGCATCAGCTTTTGCTGTTTTTAAGGGTGTAATTTACTTCCTCCCAGCACTGTGGATCCCCATCCCAGCATATGGAAACTTTATGATAAATCACGGTGGCTAATGGGAGTTATTTCAAACTTTGAGAAGCTGGTTTGTACTTTATGCTTCTATTTGAACAGGCTCCTGCATGAATTTCCTCCTAGCACTGTAAATGTACAACCCAGCAGAATTGTCTGCTGTGCTCTTCATTTCAGCACTGGTCTTGCTTGTCTCAAGCAGGCATGCTTAGGAATGTACACATGGTTGCCATGATAAATGAAACTATGCTCAGTGGTCATTATCTTCCTGTAATATCCCAGCTCAAGATATAAACAGTTACCAAAGACAGTGACAGCTTAATGGAAAGCTTAACTGAAATTCTATGTTCATAGGCTGAAGCTCAGGCCAACCAATAGGAGACTGTTATTGTCTTTACATCAGCTATTGGATTTCAAGTGTGTCTGGTTGGCCTTTGTTGGAAACAGAATAGTGAACTCATGCTTTGATCTGGCAATACAAATGGTGTTGCTGTTATTTATATAATACTTTTTATGAGGTTTGCAGTCAGATGTTGCTGGTTATAGCTGCAGCTTTTGTCCCTTTTCCCACGAAAAATTATTTCCCATCAAAATCTATATGTTCTGCTTCAACTGGCTGCCTCTTTCATGCAGGCATATTCAAGGATGCCACCCAAAACTGGCTTCTAGAGAGAGCCAGGAAAAGAAGGGGGGTATCATATTAAATAACAATGCTGCTCTTATCCATCCTTGTCTTTCCATGCAAAATACAGACCTGACATGGTGTTTGTTTCCTGTTTTATAGTTCAAAGGGTGATGCAGGTGGGTAAACACAGCTGCTCCCGTTGAGCCTCGTTGGTCCCTTATCTTGTGTATATAAGAAAGTGGTAAATGAATGGTGTGTGAGTAGAATGCATGGGAATGAGAAGCTGTAAGGGAAAGGGGGAAACTACACTTTTACAGGCAGCTCTATTTGTACATATTATATTTCAAACCTTGAAAATATTTGCAGTGTTTTGATTTGACATTTATATTTATACACCAAGCATGTTTACTTAGAGCTAAGTCTAACAATGCTCAATAGGATCTACTTTCAAGTGTGTATAAAGCTGCAGTCATGGTGTGATTTCATGAAAACATTCACAGATGTTCCCTAGTATCTAAATATGTGCTCCCCATTACAGGAAACTCCATCTTTTGAAGTAAGCATTTCAAAAATTCCCAGAGAGAAAGACATATTGCCAGTTGTCAGACTCCTCCTGGAAGCAGCTGGCTCAGTTCTTTTGCTAAGTATGGTCCTATGGCATGCTCACTTATTTAATGAAACACAAGTGTATCTGTATCCACATCTGAGGAACTGGAGAGAGAGAGTGCATGCCATACACGGAAGATTTCCCTGTAATTTAGTACCATTTTCACTGAGTCAATCCAGAGCTCTCATGCCTAGCAAACTTTTGTTATCAGATATAAAGAAGGTTTTCAGGGCAGAAACTCTGAAGTATATCAGAATACTAAAAATGTATGCAAGAACTGTACCAGCCTCACTAAATGTGAGACCTTTTGGCATAAGAACATAAGAAGTCTTGGCTGTTTAGTGTCAGGTGTACAGAACCAGATAAGTTTTCATCAGCAAAGTTATAGAATCAGAGTTGGAAGAGACCTCGTGGGCCATCCAGTCCAACCCCCTGCCAAGAAGCAGGAAAATCGCATTCAAAGCACCCCTGACAGATGGCCATCCAGCCTCTGTTTAAACGCCTCCAAAGGAGGAGCCCCCAACACACTCCAGGGCAGGGGCAGAGAGTTCCACTCCTGAACAGCTCCCACAGTCAGGAGGTTCTTCCTAATGTTCAGGTGGAATCTCCTTTCCTGTAGTTTGAAGCCATTGTTCCATGTCCAGGGCAGCAGAAAATATTAAAATACGTTATCACTTACGCTCATTTCTACTTTCACCAAAACAGAGTCATGCTTTCTTTGTAACCTTTCAGGAAATAAAATATTATGGTCATTAGTGTATCTGATTCAAGCCCCTTGTAGATTGATAGAATCATAGAGTTGGAAGAAACCATAAGGGCCATTCAGTCCAGTGTCATTCTGTCATGCAGGAACACAAAATCAATGCACTCCTGACAGATGGCCATCCAGTCTCTGCTTTAAAATCTCCAGAGAGGGAGGCTCCACCCAGAGGCGGCCCGGGTAATTTTCAACGGTAAGCAAACAGTATTTTGGCGCCCCCACCCAACCAATCACTGATATATATTTTCTGTTTCTCGTGGGAGTTCTGTGTGCCATATTTGGTTCAATTCCATCATTGGTGGAGTTCAGAATGCTCTTTGATTTTAAGTGAACTATACATCCCAGTAACTACAACTCGCATATGTCAAGGTCTATTTTCCCCCAAGAGCGCCTCAAGAGTGCCCCTGGGCAAAATGAACTATACTGCAAATGCTTACTTTGTGTAATGGGTTGAGCCACCCCTGGCTCCACCACCCTCTGAGGTAGCATATTTCACTGCCAAACAGCTCTTACCATCAGAAAGTTCTTTCAAATGTTTAGGTGGAATTTCTGATGGTGATCTCATAAATTTCAAAGACTATTCTGAGTTGGTTTTGCCAGTCCCTTCCTTTGAATCATGGATCACACTAGAGAATGCGTCCACTTTAAATCTGGTTTCTGCCTCCTGCAGAATTCTGGGGTTTGTAGTTCAGGGAGGAGTCTTTAACAGCCTCACTAAACTACAAACCCCAGAATTCTGCAGGAGGCAGAAACCAGATTTTAAGTGGATTCATTCTCTAGTGTGATGAAGTAGTATGACACCTGGTATTCTCTGGTGGTCTCTCATTCAAGCACTAACCAGGGGGGACCCTAGATCATCCCAGAACTGGTGCCTTTAGGGTATTTACACATTACTTATTCATTTATTACAAACATGTCATTTCACTTGTTATTGATATTAAGATAACCATATGTTTTCTTAATAACTGTACAGTTGGATTGCAAATGTGTTTCCCAGAAGTCCTCCAGTGTTGAGACTGCTTAAACACAGCAGCCTGTGGTTCTAGCACTGGGGCTGCATCACTGCCACTGTGGTCAGCAGTCCCTGGCAAATGCAGACCCACACTTAACGCTATCACATCTCTCACAGTATATATCAAAATTGCTTCCAAATAAAGAGACACAGCTATTAGAGAGTATAAAGTGGTTCCTTTATAATCCCATTAGTTCCTTGAGAGACATTCCTGGGAGAACCGCAGACCATGAAACGCCTTCTTCCCAGAGTTCTCCAAAATACCAAAACCCAGGGCCCTTCCACATTGCCCTGTATCCCAGAATATCAAGGCAGAAAACCCCTCAATATCTGCATTGAACTGGGTTGGACTCAGATAATGTGGGATTTCCTGCCTTGTTATTCTGGGATATAGGGCTGTGTGGAGCCCCCCCCCCCCCCGTTTCTTTGCGGGTTTTAAGCAAACTGTTCAGCTCCACCACCTCCCTGAGCGGATTTCATTGGGCCCATAAAAGAACCCAGTGCGCCGTTAAACTATAACCCGCTCTTTCCCAGCCGCGCAGCAACGCGTCTTTCGGTTTTTTTTAAAGATACTCGTTTCCAGGCCGGGCTCCAAACAAATCAGTAACTACCCGGTTTAGTTCAGGCCAATCCCTGAGGGCGGCAGCGGGCTGGTGCTTCTCCCATTGTGCCTTCCAAGTCGACAGAGAGAGAGAGAGAGAAAGGGAGAGGGAGGCAGAACTCTGGTTTGAACTCTCCTGGCCACTGTGTGTGAGAGAGGGAGAGAAAAAGAGGGAGAGGAGAACCGCCCCCCTGAACAGACCCCTGCCTTTTGAGCAGAGTTTCTCAACCTGGGGGTCGGGACCCCTGGGAGAGGTCACGAGGGGGGTGTCAGAGGGGTCGCCAAAGACCATCACAAAACACAGTATTTTCTGTTGGTCATGGGGTTCTGTGTGGGAAGTTTGGCCCAATTCTATCGTTGGTGGGTTCAGAATGCTCTTTGATTGTAGGTGAACTATAAATCCCAGCAACTACAACTCCCAAATGTCAAAGTCTATTTTCCCCAAACTCCACCAGTGCTCACATTTGGGCATATTGAGTATCCATGCCAAGTTTGGTCCAGATCCATCATTATTTGAGTCCATAGTACTCTTTGGATGTAGGTGAACTACAACTCCTAAACTCAAGGTTAATGCCCATCAAACCTTTCCAGCATTTTCTGTTGGTCATGGGAGATCTGTGTGCCAAGTTTGGTTCAATTCCATCGCTGGTGGAGTTCAGAATGCTCTTCCTTTGTAGGTGAGCTAGAAATCCCAGCAACTACAACTGCCAAATGACAAAATCAGTCCCCCCCCCCCCTAACCCCACAAGTATTCAAAGTTGGGCGTATCGGGTGCTTGTGCCAAATTGTGTCCAGTGAATGAAAGGACATCCTTGCATATCCGATATTTACATGACGATTCACAACAGGAGCAACATTACASTTCTGAAGGAGCAACMAAACTAACTTTATGGTTGGGGGTCACCCTGGGCAACTACTCTGTGGTCGCGGCATTCGGAAGGTTGAGGGGCACTGCCTTTGAGGGTGGCAACCAATTCAGGCAGCAGCCCTCCCGCCTTTGGCCATCCCTCTCTGCAGAGACTCCCAGACAGTTGAACGTGAGGCGCGCAACAAGTCGCCTCCTCCTTGCCTGCCGGGCAAAGGGACCCCAGGTTGGCCCAGGCGGAGGGGGAGAGGGACACCCAGGTGGGGAGAGGGAGGGGGTGGCTCCCCTCGCGCCCCCCTCCCTCCCCACGCCGCGGTGTTGGGATGGGCGCGCGCCCTGCCCTTGCCCTTGCCCTTGCCCTTACCCTGGAGATGGTGAGCGGGGCGCTGAAGTCCTTTCCCCCGACCAGGCGGAACCCCCAAGGCGAGGGGCCGCGCAGGACCACCGTCTGCGGCATGGCGGGGCCAGGGAAAGGGGGCTGGAGGGGGTCCGCCAAGCGGGGGCTGTGCGCTTCCTCCTCTTCCTCCTCCTCCTCTGCTCGCCTCTCCCCAACTCGGCCGCTTTCTAATCCACTTAAAGCGCCTGCTAATCTCCGGTCCGGCCTGACGTCTCTCTCTCTCTCGGTTCCCCCTCAGAGGCAGAGAGAGAGGGAGAGGAGGAGGAGGAGGAGGAGGAGGAGGGAAAGGCGGGCCCCTCGCGCTCAGGGCCGGGAGGAAAGGAAGGAGGGAGAGAGGGCGGGCGGGCAACTCCTCCGTGGCCCTCCTGGCCGGGAAGGAGGTTAGAAAGCAGGCATGGACCAACTTGGGGATCCCCCCCAAAAGTATTTTCAACTCCACCATTTCTAACAGCCTCCTCAGCCCCCTTCCTTTTCTCCTTTTTTTGCTTAAGCGGCTGAGGGGAGAAAAGGAAGGGGCCTCAGGCTGTTAGGGGTTGAAGGGCCATCTCTGCGGTGGGCCCCCGGCTATGGAACTCCCTCCCTGGCGAAATTAGGTCCCCCCCTCCCTCCTGTCCTTCAGGAAGCAGCTAAAATCCTGGCTCTGGAATCAGGCATTCACAGATTGATGGATGACCCGGTATTGACTAAGAGTTGATGGAGAACAACAGTTGGATTGAGTTGGATGATATTTTTAACTTGATGAATTGCTTTTTATATGTATTTTAAAACTTATTTGTTGTGTATGTTGTTTTATGATATTTATTGTATAGAATCATAGAATCATAGAAGAGTTGGAAGAGACCTCATGGGCCATCCAGTCCAACCCCCTGCTAAGAAGCAGGAATATTGCATTCAAATCACCCCTGACAGATGGCCATCCAGCCTCTGTTTAAAAGCTTCCAAAAAAAGGAGCCTCCACCACACTCCAGGGCAGAGAGCATTGGATTTTTGCTGTTGGCCATTCTGAGTCCCTCCACAGAGGTAGATAGGAACAGGACACAAAAGTTCCAAATAAATAAATAAGTCCAAAACTCCTGGAGGGAGGGCCCAAGTTTGCCCATCTATATAAATAAAGATGCAATGTTAGTTTGTGGGATTAATCTAACCCAAAACCACTGGATGAATTGACACCAAATTTGGACACAATACACCTATCTGGCCAACGACTAAAAACTCATAAAAAACTGAAAAACACAGCAGAAGAGACTTAAAAAGCCAAAAAAATATACAAAAATACAGCGCATGTATAAAACCACATATATATACGCAAACACACATATATACACATATACACACACACATAAAACATATACACAGACTGGGCCGCAGCAACGCATGGCAGGAACAGTTAGTGTCTGATATAAAGACACTATAAAGAACTATACTGCGAAGGGGGCAGGGAATGGGGGACTCTTTTCAATTCTGTGGCTGTTTTTGATATATTTCAGGATGCTGAAAAGGCAATAAAACTCATGCCACACACAGTGCTTCCACACATGCCGTTATTACTAGTTTTGACACTAATTTCTCCCAGGCACAATTGACGATAACACACACACACACAAAGTCAACTCCAGTATGGGATGGAGTGAATCCCAGGTCCACTTTGGACTAGGAACACAGACAAATCTAGAGCAGTGGTTCTCAACCTGTGGATCCTCAGATGTTTTGGCCTTCAACTCCCAGAAATCCTAACAGCTGGTAAATTGGCTGGGATTTCTGGGCGTTGTAGGCCACATCTTTTGCTGTGATTCTTCTCATCTCATGCGAATTAGAGTGGCCTCCTTTTAATCATTTGGGCTTCTAGTCCAAGCAGGCAGAGATGCAGAGATGGAGTAGGTAGGCTGATGTGAGGCAACAACATCCTGTCCCTGAGCCACTCTGAGCTTCTTTGCAGCACTTTGAATGAAGCTTCAATGGACCCACAGGCTGAGAACACTGATCTAGAGTAAAGGAGATCTGGGCTTTCTCTAGAAGACAAGGTGACTCCTGGGCCTCCTGCTTTGGATATGGCTTGAGGAGCAGAAAAGATACTCATGCTCAGTAAAGCATAAAGCAGCAGGAAATGAAGAAGATTCCACTATAGACCCCTGAAACCATGGGGAAACTATGTAAAGATGCTTTTTGCAGACTTTAGTCCTGTGTTCAACACAATCCTACCACATAGACTGGTGTCTAAAGTTATGGATCTGGGATTGCAATACTCAATTTGTTCTTGGATTATGGACTTCTTGTGTGGATATTCCCAGAGGGTTAGATTAGGTAATCATACCCCTTCAGCTCTCACTCTCAACACTGGAACGTCACAGGGATGTGTGTTGAGTCCTCTGCTTTATACTTTGTACACATATGATTGCATCCCCATCCACCATAGCAATATTATTACCAAATTCACAGATGATACAACAATGGTGGGATTTATCTGCCTATCAGGATGAAATAGATCAGCTGCTTTTGTGGTGCAGGGACAATAACTTGGTTCTTAACATCAATAAGACCAAGGAACCCATCATGGACTACAGAGTGAATAGACCAGAAATCCAACCCTTGGTCATAAAGGGAAACCAAGTGGAGCAGGTGACCAGTTTTAAGTTCCTGGATGTTAAGGAGGATCTGACCTGAGGAACTCATATGGCAGCATTGGTTAAGAGGGCCCAATAGATATTTTAATATCTGTGAATCCTAAGGAAACAATAACTGAGTGAAAAACTGCTGGTGATATTTTGCTGCTGTGCTATAGAGAGTGTCCTAACCTATTGCATCTGTGCATGGTTTGGTAACTTCAAAGTGGCAGATAGGAACCAAAGGGTCACCACTTCTGCACAGTCATTGGTTGCCTTCTCTCTTTGGAAGAACTTTATAAGTCCCACAGTCTTAAGAAAGCTCAGAGTATTCCTAAGGATCCATCTCACCAAGCATATTCTCTTTTTGAATTGTTACCATCTGGCAGATGGCACAAGGTGGCACATGTTTACTGAAGTCCCAGTTGGGTTTTCTAATTTTCGCGAGAGCAGTTTCCCATCTCAATTATGTGTGTGCATAATTATGCTCCTGTAATATCCTGGGGGGTGGGGGGGGGAGCAATGGGGAGTTGGGTGATTCCCCAGACTCACTTCCCACTCTTAGCCCAAATTGTTGCCTTCGAAAGGGGCTTGTGAGCTGTATGAAGAACTAGTTTCCCCTCTCAATTATGCATGTGCATTGAAGGGGCAGGGTCACGAGGACACATCATCAACAGATTCATCAAAATATCGGAAAATAGCAGGACAGGACCATTGTTATCCTGGATCTATGAGAAATAGTAGGGATTTCTCATTTAGCTCTTGGGAGAAAGGAAAGTGAAGCTACTCGTGGAAATGTTTGCAGTGTTTTCCTACAAGGAGAAGGGACAGGGGGAGAATTTAAAAAATGATGTCCCAGCTAAAAAGCCCTGGGCAGAAAAGTTCTACTACAGACTTGAATGTGAACATGGATATCATCTCTGGCCTTATTTGGCCCATGAAGGGCAACAGGAAGAGACATTTGTGTGCTTTCAAGTCATTTCTGATTTATGGCAACCCTAAAGTATTGCAGCTCATAGTGTGTGATTTGCTCAAGGTCACCCAACTGGTTTCAATGGTTCAGCAGGGAATTGAATCCTCATCTCCAGAGTCATAATCCAGCTCTCAAACCACCACACCAGCTCTCTATCTCTAATTGCCTGATGAATTTGTTTTCTATACCAAGAGTAACAATAAGCAGAAAGTAATCCTTGAATATTTGTGAATGTGCTTTCATTTGCTCTGACTCCTAGCAGTCCATGCCTCCACAAAAACCTCTTAGAACATAAGGCCTAACTGGTGTGTTTAAACCTCTGCACTTTTGTGTTGAGAAACAAAACATTGGATTAACATAGCAGCACTTCTGCAAAACTCTGGATACACACTCTGTGAAATGTATAGATTTCTATTTTTTTGGGGGGGGCGGTGTGACTTGGCTTCCATTTACAGTTTGCTCTTGCCATTATTTCTTTATTGTTGGGCTGAATAATAATGACATTAGCTAGTATTGTTTTATTTGTGATAATCGGCTATAAAGTGTTTCTAAATTCCAAAGTTTCTCCTGAGTCCATTGATTTAAAATCTTTGTTTCTTCTATTGTGTTTCTCCTTCTCTCTTTCTCTCCATGTAATTGGTTCCCATGATTAATTGGGTCCACACAGAGGCAGCATGGCATAGCAGTCTGAGCATTGGAGTACGACTCTGGAAACCAGGATTTAATCCTTTCTCAGCCATGGAAACCCACTGAGTAACCATGGGCGAGTTACCCTGTCTGAATAAATTTTGCCAAGAAACACCAGTGCTCTCCAGCTTAGATCACTTTCCAATAAATGCAAAATAGACAATAGACTTTTTTTGTGTGTCAGGAGTGACTTGAGAAACTGCAAGTTGCTTCTGGTGTGATTGAATTGGTTGTCTGCAAAGACATTGCCCAGGGGATGCCCGCATGTTTTACCATCCTGTGGGAGGTTTCTCTCATGTCTCCACATGGGAAGCTGGAGCTGACAGACAGGAGCTCACCCCGCTCCCCAGATTCGAACCGCTGATCTTTTGGTCAACAGCCCTGCCGGCACAAGGGTTTAATCCATCACACCACTGGGGACTCCTTAAATCCGAAGTCAAAGGTTGTAATGCTAGTCATTGCCTGCAATGTGTCTGGATTTCTAAACCATGTTCTCTAACATTTTAGAGAGGAAAACATGAACATGTTGTAAGTTGCAACCTTCCAGTGCTAATATCAAGGATCAATATTTCACTCTCTTCTTCTATCATCCTGTGTGCACAATGTTACACATTACTGAAGATTGTTCTTCACTTAGTGTTTAAATTTGTTTGCACAGGTTGATTTAAAAGCTCAAGTAGCTGTTTATTCTATTATCAGTATTAGTGTAAGAGGAAAACATAGGAGGCTCTGACTGAAATCCCCTTAGAGCACTGAAGGCATGGCATTGGGCCAGCTATGATCCAAGGTCCCTATCTTGTGCATCATATAATGTTAATTAGAGACAGGGTGCCTCTACTGCTTCAACTGGAGGTCAGATTTCCAGAGGATAGTAGAGATGCAGCTTGGATTGCAATTTTATGTGCAGTAAGGATAGTAGGCAGTAAGTATAATAGGGCGGACTTAATTATCTTTAAGCCTCTTACAAAGGGAGCTGGCAATGTATTGTTGATG